TGGGGGGCATTCAGGAGGGGTGGGGAGCAGGCAGCAGGTGGGGCCTGGCAGGGGTCCCCCCATGGTCCCCTCCCTGCTCATCCAGACCCGTTACCTGCTGCAGCGGGCAGGGACTGCCCAAATCTCTGAAGCTCTCCAAATATTTCCAAATTGATTCAGAGAGCTTCGGATTGCTTTTTATTGGTCTCCTGATTTGATTTCTGATTTGGAGATTCAGCTGCCGAATTGTGTCAAATTTTCTCTGAATCGAATCAGCACCCAAAGCCCTATCAACTGCTCTAAGTATAAATTATATCAATGCAAGTGGGGCTTTGTGGCAGCACAGTTCAGAGAACATTAGGTCTGTGGATCTCGGCTGCAGACACTGTTGGTCTGTTCTGATGTTTCAGTCACTCAGCTGCGCCAAGAGAAGGAAAACCTCCACCAGCAGGTGATGTCCTGCAGAGACTCAAAGTCAGGCCCGCCTGACGCTCTCTGGGGAAGGATCCTTGACAAAGGTAAGTCATTGGAAAGGAGCTGCTGTCCTCTGAGGGCAGAGCAGGGCAGACTCAAGTCTCTATATGAGGCTGCCCTGGCCTTGCAGAGTGTTGTCCAACCTCCTACAGGTGTGTTGGCCTTCGCTGAGCTATCTACGCCTGCCATGATGTCGCCTTTGCAGGGAGGCTTGGGGCATGGGGACCATTCACTACCGTATTCCTCAACCCAGTTCCATCTATTTTCCTCCCATCCCAGGTTAGGAGAGCCCACAGCTTCCTCCAAAGGTCTTCTCACTCACTCCTTTCCTAGCCCTGAAGCTGGCAGCTCACTCAGAGATTTCTGACAAGCACCTTCTCACAGGTGCCTGCAGAGCAGCAAACCAAAACTGTCCATGTCAAGAAGCAACTGAGATAAGCTGCCAAACCCCAGAGATTGTTCCATAAGCATCCCCAAAAATGCTCTGATATGACACAAGTGAAAGGTTTTGGTTGCCTTGTCTGCCTGATATCTTGAAATATAAGATAATTAGGAAGAAAAGTGTAAATAATGGAATGCTTAAAAATGGGAATGAAATGCTTAGAAATTATGCAAGTTAAATGACCCAGTTTCAAAGCGGGGGTTTTAAGGTTAGGGTTTTGCTTTAATGTATATTTTCAAAACGTTGTCTTTTCAGGATTCAGGACAGGGAAATCTTCTTTACTTTCATAACTTACAGGTGGAGGGAAAAAACCTTTCTCCCTCCAGCTTTTGCTGCCCACGTCCTGTTCCATGACTTGCTCCTGTCAGACAGGGCCTGGAGCTCCTGTCTCTTGGCCACCACTCCCCGCTGGGAACATGGCCCAACTCCCCAGAGAGGAGGGGATCAGGAGACCAGCCTAGCCTCAGCCAAGTTGGCAGTGACTGTCAGGCCCCTTATTCACCCATACAGCTGTGGAAGCCAGTCCTTAATATTTGTTGCATGAAAACAGCCACTCCTTGAGGAAAAAGGCCATTCCCCTTCAGGGGTGTGGGGCAGAAGCTGCCCCCCACACACTATAGGGCCCAAGAGACACAAGCAGTGGAGGTGGAGGAACACAGAAGGGGTGAAATCCTTCTGCCGCTGACAACTAGATGCTGAGCTCAGGGCGATGGGGGAATGAGTGTGATGGGCTGATCCACAGTGTATGTTGCAGGGAAGAAATGTCCAGCACTATGGCTTGCCAACCAGGACCGGTCCTACCTGTTTTCTTCTCAAAAAGGAACTTGGGAGCAGTGTAAATCCTTCTGCACGCCTCAGTTTGCCGGGCTACTCATAACAGAGAGTAAAGAAGAGCTGGTGAGTGCGTGTTTCCTTTAATGTATCAGTACAACGTGACCAGATGAATGCAACGAAGGAAGAGTCAGGCTCCACGGCTGCGCTTTCTGGCACAGCTTCAACTGGGCTGGGGGTGGGGAGGGATGGCGAGGATAGACTTCAGCAAGGGGTTTATCTGTATGCACACATGTGTTCTACTATATTGCCAGAGGATTGCATTTATTTATTTAGCCATGTGTCTGATCCTTCAGTGGTACCTGCAGTATGTCTGAGAACTCACCTGGCCAGACTGGCACTAGCTTTTAGGTGGTGTAAGATACTCAGTTTACTACAGGGAGGATCTCTGCACTGAGGCTTGCACTTATACCATAGCGCTCTGCTGGTGCTCTCCACATGGCTGAGAGAACTCACTTCCATGCCATCTGATTTCTTCTGCTGCAGGATTTCATAACTGCAACATCTTTTCAATACTCTGAAGATACTGCAAGCGGTGCATACTACTACCCATTCTGGGCTGGATTGTCGTACAACTCCAGAAAGAGGATGTGGGTCTGGACGGATGATTCAGCTCTCTCCTCTGGCTTGTAAGTCTGTGTCACCGGGGCAGTGGTTCCCAAACTTTTGATACCTGGGGCATATCTTTTTCAAGATGCCATTGCCCTGCCAGAGAAAATCACACTAGTGCTGAGATGGGCTCTTCCCTGCTTTTCCATGGTGTTCACTTCAAGGGGTAAGGTGCTGAGCTCAAGGGGTAAGATGTTAAGGCTGCTCCTGCAGGGTCTCACATGACAGTGACTACCCCCCATGGGATATCATGCTGTCCCCAGGAGTGTTGCAGGGTGGAGGGGATGAGATGTTCTGCTTAACTGCAGCAGAGCATAATTCTCAGAGCAATGCACAGTGGCAGGGTGGGAGCAGGCACAGGGGCTGCCTGGTGGTGGGGAAGGCCTGAGAAAGGTAGCAGCAGCAGCAGTGACAGTCCTCAGAGGAGAAGCTGCAGGCACTGCTGGTGTAGCTGTCCGCAGCTCTGCACCAAAGTGCAGCACTTGCTTCCGGGTGTAACTTCCCCTGGACCCGTAAAGGTCTGACACTGCTGGCTGGCAGTGGAGGGCTGGTGCAATTGGCTCAGTGTTGTATCTCAATGACTCCCAGATGCTGCTGGCACCATGCAGGCTCCCCACACCCCAGATGTCACTAGTGACTGCGTCCAACAGCGCAGGGATGGAACAGAGTCACAACCAGGGATCCTGGTTTTCTCTGTTTAAAAATCACAAATATTCTGATAAAATCCCATGAATCTATCGCATGGACACCGCCTGAGCTCATGTGATCTGTGAATTGTATGGAAACCTGTGGCCTCTTCTCTCAACCACTTTGGGAATGGAGACCTCTGTGGGTCAGCATGCAGGCACAGGAAGGGGAGGAAAGAAAATATTTTGCAAATTTGATCCCAGGAACCATTTCTGGAGGACTGAATTGTCGTCACGTAAAGTGTGTTGAGAAGTCAAAGGGGACCTCACCCTGCCTTGTAAATGCGTCATGAGAGTGCAGGGTCCTGTGCTGTGCTGTGGGGTTTTAATTCAACCAATTGCAGGCTTCACCTGCAAAGCATCTCTGACCTTTCTTCCGCCATCCTGCTGTCAGTGCTAGAAGTCAGGGAGAACTTCTAGCTCTGTGTCCTGAAACAGGAGGCCAGAAGAATTGACCTGACTGTACCATGTGGCTTTGCCTTCCAGGTTTGTGCTGGCAGACCTCAGCCCTCAAAATTATCCGGGTGGAGCTTGTGCATATTTTCAAGGTGATAAATTGAAACCTGGAGGCTGTGAAGAAAGTCGATTCTGTGTTTGTGAGAGGAAGAAGGAAGCACCAGGGAAAAAATAAACTTCATTGATCCACCAGATAGATGGTGTGGTGCAGACTGATCAAAGAGATCACTACAGCTGAAAGCGGAGCCTGGAGCTCAGGAAAGAAAATGGATGCACCACCAGAAATCCCCAGATCTTGTACTGCCGTTTGCAGGGAGGATGCAGGGTCTTAAAATGCAGTGAAGCTGCTAACCTTGGGCTGTCTGCTAAACCACATACATGCATACAGCCAAACCTCAACCCCTTCTGCCACTGCTTTGAGCTCATACCTGTGCTACTTGACAGCAATCTGTTTCCCCCACAGCCCAGCTGCATCTGCTGGAGCCAGCAAGGAGGGGACCCTCCTGCCTTCATTTCATCCATGTATCTTCTTTTCTTGACGCTGTGATGGAATTTCATGGTAGTTTGGTAACTCCTCAGGCCAACAAGAACTTCCAGGAGCTACTGGTGTGGACAGCCACAGGGGGCATCATAGGCCTACGGAAATCACAGGTGGAAAAACACTCTTTATCTCCCAGTGACTGCTCATGCCTAGGCATAGATATCCCCTGTTGTGTACAAGACAGGAGCTGGTCTACATTCTACAGGAATGTCGCCTTGGTTCTGAAAATAAACCATCTCCCACCACTCACATGCCCCTCTGCTAATGGGTGGGGTACATCAGGAACAGTCGTGTGTGGCTTTGTGTTCTCTTTGCAGCAGGGGGAGGTCCATACCCCGCAATGGTCCATTTCATCTCCCCAGGTTGGCAGTGTCATTGGGAAGAGGATGGGTGGCACAGTCAAGTGTCCTCCTGCAGATGCCGGCCATGGCCCCTGGCCTATGGCAACCTGGTCTCCTCATCTGGGACTGAAAAAATGCTTGTGGCAGAGAGAATAGGAGTGACCTGATCTTCTGGGCCAGTGCACCTTGATCCCATTTGCTGGGCAGAAGTTGAGTGGAGCAAAGGGAGTTCCTGCT